TGATAATGACTTTTACGCTGATAATGACGACAACAATATGATGAAAGAAATAGATATAAAAATTAAAAGTGATTTATTAATGTCAATTTTAACATCAGATAAAATTATTTACAACAATTTTTTCCAAAAATTTGCAGTGTTTGAAAAGCCCAGGACAGACAAACCCAGCTATGTGGGACCGTCTGGATTTGCGAACATAACCGAACAGGATCGAGAATGTAAAATGAAATAAATCAGTTTTCTTTTCATAAAAACAATTTCTCTCTTATTCTCTCCGTTTCTTTCTCTCTCTCTTTCTTTCTTCCTTTCTCTCCCTTTCTCTTTCTTTCTCTCTCTCTCTTTTTCTCTCTCTTTCTCTCTCCACCCTCTATTTTTCTTTCTTCTTTCAAGCGTACATTTATTTATTTAGATAATTTTAATAATTTATTCTGGCCTGACAGATCTCTTCAAGAAGTTCAAGGGCATTCTCATGGATACAATTCTTCCTGACCTAGGTGAGTAGCAATTTGCCCTATCACTTGTTAAGATGGCAAAGCTGATCGGCTGGCGGTTCTCATCATGTTAACCACGACGATGATGATGATGGTGATGATGACAAGGATGATGGCGGTGATGATGATGATCACAAGGATGATGGCGGTGATGATGATGACGTTTAGGATGGCGAATAGGATGATGGTGAAGTTTAATGTTATAAGTTTTGATAGTCTTGGAAGGAACTCTATGCTTCAATTTGGTAACTAAAGTAGCTAACAGTCTCTTACTTTTTGTAAATCTTCGTCACAGCAGCCACTTCTTCAAACTCTGGAAGGGTTGAAACAGTTTTTAAACGGTTTAAATTTAACCTGAACTCTAGATAAATTATTATAGTAGGGAGGTCTTAACCCCAAAATCCACCCCTTAGATACTCTTTGGACGATGATGATGATGATGAAGATGACGATGAAGAAGATGACGATGATGTTGATAATTTTTTTTTCATTAATAATGATAAGGTTGATTTCAATATAATTAAGATATTTAATAAAAAATTAATACAAAAAAAAACATTCAGAGCCTAGATCAAAGCACTCTGACGAATCTAATCTGGCTTCGAGTTCTAATGGTAATTGAAGTTACTAAATTTAGAATAACGATGTTGTTGTTGTTGATATTGATGATGATGAGATGATGATGATGACGACGATGATGATGAATATGATGATGATGACGACGATGATGATGACGATGGGGATGATGACGATGATGTTGTTGATATTGATGATGATGATGATAATGATGATGACATTGCGAGATGATGATTAGATTCATAATAAGAATTATGATTATGATGACAGCTATAATGATTTTAATCTTGAAAAATAAGTTCTTGTCAAAAATGTCATATACTAATAGTTTATTAATTGTAATATAAGAGTTTTTATAAAAATTAATAAATATCTACATTTAAAGAAAATAAACTATGAAATAAATGGATATTTAAATTAATAAATAAATGCAATATTTAAGTGAGAATTTTTTTTCTTTCTACTGCAGATCAGTTGGTGAACGTAGGAGGAAAACTGACTGTTAAGCAAGGAGATGGTACACGAAATTCAACTCAATACATTATATATATATATATATATATATATATATATATATATATATATATATATGTGTGTGTGTGTGTGTGTGTGTGTGTGTGTGTGTGTGTGTATGTGTGTGTATGTGTGTGTGTGTGTGTTTTTTTTATATATTTGTATGAGTTTTGTGTTTAAATGCATACATTTACATCTCGTGACTCACTCTGGTTGAATGTTAAGAAGAAGATAATCTTCAAAACTGCCGTCCAAATATTTAAATAAAACTGGATAGGCACCTATTGAAATTACCATCCAGATGTTTAAATGGATGGTATCTGGTCATTTTTTTGAGAGAGAAAGATAGAAAGAGATAGATAGAGATAGATAGATAGATAGATAGATAGATAGATAGATAGATAGATAGAGAGAGAGAGAGAGGGAGAGAGAGAGAGAGAGAGAAAGTTGCGCCAGTCACTACTTACACCAATGATCTTGACTTATTTTTTGTTTTTCCTATTAAGCTTGCCGCTGGGTTTAGAATTTTTTTCTTTAGCTGGGGTTCTTTTAGTGTAACTGGCTTTTTTATAGTGTAGCTGGTTCTTTCAGTGTAATTGGCTCTCTCGCGGTGTAGCTGGCTCTTTTGTAATGTAGCTGGTTCTCTTGTAGTGTAGCTGGCTCTCTAGCAATGTAGCTGGAAGTGTTGGTTGCCTGCTGAACTCAGCGCTCCTGGGCTCTCTGCTTCATCATTTTGGAAAAGATTGTTAACCTTTCATCTTTTGTTGTTTATTATCTGCGCTGTTGTGATTGTACGAATGACCGCTATATAAATTTCACTAACAACATTTATGTTGTATATATGTGTTATGTAAATATATACTTAAATATATACTATATGTGTGTTATGTAAATATATACTTACATATATACTATATATGTGTTATATAAATGTATAGTTACATATATACTATATATGTATGTATATATTTATAAAGCACATATGTAGTTTACATTTCTCGATTCTCAGTTATGGTTGAGGCATTCGTAGCGAAGGTGAAGAAAATGTGGCTAACCCCAGGAGAAAGTAAGTTTAGATAAACTGTGATGACGATGATGATAATAGTTCTGATGATGATGATGATGGTAAAGATGACGATGATGATGATGATAGTTTTGATGATGATGGTAGAGATGATGATAATAGTGCTGATGATGATGATGATGGTAAAGATGATGATGATGATAATAGTTCTGATGATGATGTTGATGATGGTAAAGATGATGATGATGATGAAAACAATTTTGATGACGACGATGATGATGATGAAGATGATGGAAAAGAATTAATGAAAAACGATAAAGGAATAAAAATGAAATAAAAAAACAAAAATTACAAATGCTTAACCGTGATAAATATTCAATGTTAATTAACGCTAATTAATGCCAATTTATTAATATTTATTATTAAATAAATAGTCAATTAAAAATTAACGAAATGAACAATAAATCCCACCGTGGACAGTGATCATCACCCTTCCTGATGACAAGGGCAGTGAACCCCTGGATGTCCTTAAGCTTCCGAAGTACGATCGAATATGTAAGAAATTCAATTTCTTACAAAAATAAATTTCCCTCTCTCTCTCTCTCTCTCTCTCTCTCTCTCTCTCTCTCTCTCTCTCTTTCTCTATCTGTCTCTTGCTCTCTTTCTCTCTCTTGCTCTCATTTTTCCTATTTCAGTTACACCATCATTTTTTTAGCGTATTTTACTGAATCATCAATCATGTTCGCTAGCTGTTTTCCTTTGTTTCTCTCTCTCTCTCTCTCTCTTCTTTCTTTCTTTCCCGCTCTCACTTTTCTATAGTTCAATTACACCGTTATTTATTTAGAATATTTGAATAATTATCAGTTTCATTCGCTAGCTATTCCCTCTCTCTCTCTATCTTCTTTTCAATCTCATTTTCTTTTAATATATAATTATATATATATGTATATGTATTGTATATATACGTATGTTCGCGTATGGTTATATGTTTGTGTATTTTTTTTGTTTGTGTATGTATGTGTGTGTGTGTGTGTGTGTGTGTGTGTGTGGGTGTGTGTGTGGGTGTGTTATTTGCTATCTTAAATTTTATTTATTCAAATTCTCATTGCAGATCTTTATAAAGTTTTCTTGAGGGTTGTCAGAGACAAGATATTTTCCCACAAGAGTAAATAAAAACTTAACTTGATTGGTCGATGATGATAATGATGACAATGTGGTTTATGTTGAAGATGTTAATATAATAGTTGCTGATTAAATGGTGGATTAGAATGATGATGATGATTGATGATGATAATGATGACCAATGGTGATGACGATGATGATAACGATGTGATTGTTGATGATGATGGTGGTGGTGGTAATGATGACGATGAATATGCTAGTACTGATGCTGATGGTGACGATTGAAACGATCACACTGATGACGACGACGAAGACGTCAGGGTTAATAAAATATGCTAGCAATAAAATAATTTCACATGAACATTCAACTAACTATGCAGAACCTGAAGATATTGAATATTTCAATGTTCTTACTACCATGACAACAAAAGGTGAACAAAATTTTTTGATTCTATGTTGATGATGACGACGACGACGATGATAATGATGGCGGTAAGAATGATGATGATGAGAAAGAGAAGGATGATATGGATGAGGATGATGATGATAAAGAGAAGGATGATAATGATGATGATAATGACGATGATGATGAAATAATTGACATGAATGTTTACGCAGAGTACGAGTATACCAAATCTCCTCGCGCTGCCAATCACGTTTCCCGCTGAAAATGAGGATAATGAAAATGATGATGACGACGATGACAATAATTGAAGAATATGGACCTAAACATTTAAGAAAAATTGATTTTTTTTGTCATATTTCGGTCCTATTTTAGAATTAAAACTTTGTTATTCACCATATACCTAGAGGAAGAACTTTTTTGAAAACAAAACTCATTTAAAAACGCATTGCCAAATTTTGTTTGATAAAATTTCCTATTTGCAATGAAGATAATTTCCTTTTTTGTCATGCAACATTAGGCAAGTTTGAAGTATTTTTTACGAAATTCGTTGCAATGCGTGTGGTGCTTAAATGAGAAACAGACGATGTGATTATTATTTCGAAATAAACGTTTAAAAGCCCATTAAATTGTTTAATTATTGTCCAATTATTGTCTAATTACACAAATTACTACCTAATACAAAAAATAAAGAAACACTCAAAACCATCAAGTCCGAATCTTAACAGTACAAAACATTAGGGAAGAACCTAAATAGTAGGAGAGTGATAAATACGAGTACCATCACTTCAAGTGCAAGTACAATTGTTCAAGTGCAAGTTCTATAGTAAAGTACAGAGACTTTTATCTCAAATTTTATAGAAAAAAGAAAACACTAGACAACCAAGCAAGCCAAAAACTTATATTTTAAATCAAAACTATATTCATTCGGAGATATCTAGAGATCTACTGAATTTGACTTTTTAGAAAAATAAAGATAAAATTCTGGCAAGGACTCCTAGCAAGTTGTAAAGTAATACTCCTCCCCACATATATATATATATATATATATATATATATATAAATATATATATATATATATATATATATATATATATATATATATATATATATGGTTATTGATAAATCGGAAGGTAAATTGTTCTACAAGGTTACAACATCCATTAAAGAATCGAAGTTTTAGAAATATTTAGAAAGGTATAGGGAAGATAGAAATGTTCTTAGTTCTTTAATATTAATATTGCATATCGTAAAGAAAATCATGAATTTTTTGGCTCTTCTACCGGATAATTGCTTGCAAATTTTGTATATAAATTTTAATTTTAATGATGCGTTCAATTGGGCTGTGTTTGCTTAATCCCTCTAGAATACATCCAAGTTGGATTTCTTAACGTTTGGCACATTGGCGGTTTTAGACTTGATCGTTGTAACAATTTCTGTTAAGACTCGTTGTTTATTTGAGGTTAGCCTTGTTTTTAAGACCAGGCGGCGAGTTGAAGAAATTGTATTACAATGCAATGGTCAGTGAAAAATTAAAAATTTCATACAAGTGAATAATAATTGAAATGTCTAATCGGTCAATGTGGGAAAAATATTAAGAAGAAGAATAAAAAAAACAGAATAAACTTTCAACTCAAAAAAAAATGTTGCACTATCCAACAGATTTGTTAGTATAAACAATTCAAAGATGATTTAACAGACACAAATGAATGTTTCGAATGTGTAAATAAATAATTTAATCTTTAAATATCAAAAGACTTTGAGAAAATATAAGTCGGAATAAGGTGGAATGGTTAATAAGAAAATGTTATTCATCAAATTAATCAATATTAACAGTAAAAAGTTCAACACAATCTACCAATCATTAAAACATAGCGATAAATTATAAATCAAACAAATGAAATTGAAAAAAAGGGATTGCAGATTTGGTTTTAGACGAAGTAATGAGTTCTTTCGAAACCTTGAGCTAGAGAAAAAATCAAATAATAAATTAAAAATTATTAGAAAAGGCAAAATTTCGAACCAAAAATCAAACTTTACAAAAATATTTCTCCAACCAAAACAATTCTACGTTACGATACGATACGATACATTGAAACAGAAATAAAGTAGAAAAACCAACCAATAGTGCATAGAATGATCTTAGCCTCAGCGTGGTTCCTGGCTTTGAAGACGTGAGCAACAAAATTTTTGGCCAGGGTACACGTGGTTTCGCTGTCAGGATTGTATCAAAAAAAAAATTAAATGGGATCCCATGTGTGCGTTCATACATCCGGACCATTCGGAACAAGGTTCCGAAATCGTGATAAATAACAAGCGATAATAATATTTTGGAAAATACTTCACAAAATAAACATCCACATTAACTTAAAAACAAAAACATCACGGAATCGATAACTTCATAAATTTCCATTCAACAACTCTCAAACGTTAACTAAACGCCGACAAATAAACATACAGAAGGGCAAACATGGAGAAAGAGAGGCCGACAGACAGATATTTGCAGACGGAGTCAGACAGATTGGGCATGGAGCGAAATAGATTAACAGACAAAAAGACATATATAGAAACAAACAACAGACATACAGACAGACACAAACGGAAAGGGACAGACAGACAGACAACAAGCAGACATATCGACAAACCCAATAATGCAAGCGAACAAATCCGCTTTGTCATCTTTGCGACCGCAAGCAGATATTTCTGTGAAGGAGGCCTTCAAGAATACCTTCAAATTTTATGGCAGTTAATGATTATAATTAAAATTATCATTATTATCATCAGAACACTTACAAAAAAGCTTCACGAAAGAATAAATTTCAAAGAATTAAAATGTGAAAGTACCTGACTGATAGAACATGAAAGACTAAACCAAAGAACAAATCCTCATTAAAAAATAAGAAAGAATAAACTTTTATAGAAAAATAACAACAAAATTAGTAAGAAGAAGAAGGGAAAACACCGACTTGTTTATCTTTATCGAAGACTGTGAAGTCCGTTTCTCCGAGATGAACTAGCGTTTCAAACTGCTGATGGGTAGAAAAAAATTTTTCAACATTATATTTAAAAGTCGTTCCCTACCTTGTTACTATCTTCAACATTGCTTTCAACAACCATTCACTCGTTCCTTCATTCCTTTCTTTCTTCATTCATTCATTCATTCATTCATTCATTCATTCATTCATTCATTCATTCATTCATTAAACAGCAACAAGTGTTCACTAAATTTAAGTTCCCCAACCAACTTTTAACACGCCAACATTGTTGGTCTGCTGTTGTTTTAATCGCAGAAACAACAACTGATTTTCGAGTTGTTTTTGCTGTTGCTGCAGATAGTTTTGCTGTTGTTGTTGCTGCAGCTGCTGGTGCGGCTGTTGTTGTTGTTGTTGCTGTTGTTGTTGTTGCGGCTGTTGTTGTTGTTTTATTAGTTGTTCGTCGGATTCAAGCATAAAAATTAAGTCGTTTTGTGGTTGTTGTTGTTGTGGCTGCTGTGGTGGCTGTAGTAACAGCAGTTGTTGTTTAACTTCTTGTAGTTTGTTTTGTATTTGTTGTTGCACCGTTTGTTGTCGCTGTAGCTGGTCGACGTTGTCGATAGCCTCTTCAATCTTACATATCGATCCATCCTTCGTTTGTGGTTGGTGTTGGTCGGTTGGTCAGTCGGTTGGTTTGTCAGTTGATTGGTTGGTCGGTCAGTTGGTTAGTTGGTTGGTAGGTTGGTTGGCCGGTTGGTCAGTTGGTTTGTTGATCGGTTGGTTGGTTTGTCAGTTGGTTGATCGGTTGGTTGGATGATCAGTTGTCAGGAAATTGAATGTATATATGAATGAGTTAATGAATGAATGAATGGCTGAACAAACTAATGAATGAACGAACGTATGATCGAATAAATATATGGATGAACGATCAAACGAATGAATGAACGAATGAACGAATGAATAAATGAACGAACGAATGAATAAATGAATGCTAGAATGAATGAATGCATGAATGAAAGAATGAATGGATGAATGGACGGGCAAATGAAAAAATCAGCTTGTATGGTATTAAAGAGAAGAATGCATCTACTGACCTGGCCGATGTCAACGTACCCAAGGTAGGTGCAGTCATATTCCGCCCTGCAGTTTCAACAACAACAACAACAACAACAACAACAATAATAATAATAATAACAACAACTATGATAAAAAATAACAATAATAATAATGATAATAATTTTAAAAAATTATTAACGATGATCAAATAATAAATGCTCTTATGGTTCATGGACTCGTCACCTTTAGTTAAATAAATAATAATGATGATGATAATGATAATAATAATATTAATAATAATAATAATAATAATACAGCAGCGGGTCCAAAAAAAAAACTGCAGGGCAAATGTTTCCAGACTGGTTTTTGAATGTGGGAAAAGAAAGGCTTGCAAATTAACATCAACAAAACAGAGTGCCTGGTTATCAGTGAAGGAAAAACCGCCCCGATCTGCTCCATAATCATTAATGTTAAACCAAATGAAAGGAGTCAATTATGAAAAATTATGAAAACTTATGAAAACTACTTGGACCTCTCATACTTCGAATGAGGATGTATTAAAACAGTCCGGTTATGAAAAGAGGAAATTACTACAGATATAATCCGACGGGGGCAGTTGAAGTTTTTTGGTCACATCATGCGGAAGGAAAGAATGAAAAATCTAACTACTACTGGAAAGATTGCAGGGAAAAGAGATCGCGGTCAGCAACGAAAACATCCGTGAAGTCCTTCTGTCACTTGTTGAATATCACCACATTTCAACTACTGCAAGATGTTAAAGATCGGGTTTTGTGGAGGTTGATGGTCGCCAATGTCCTGAAAGGATAAGGCGCGAGAAAGAAAGAAGAATATAATAATAGTAATAATTACAAAAAATTGTTAATAATAATAATAATAATAAAAATAATAAATGTAATTATGATTCATCCGTCAGCACCTATCATTAGCGTTATGGACCGGGACCTCCTCGTCACATTCCTGCGACAGTCTGGCGTGCGGAGGTGTCTTCAAACTCTCCTCCTCACCACCCTCCCTGTCCAAAAATAGATGACCTTGACCTTGAACTTGCTGTCTGAAGGGCGAGTACCTGGCCGGCAGGTCCTTCGTGATCTCTAGCAGAGGTCTGAATATGGAGCCGTCTGGAAGGTGACCCTGGATAGAAATTATAACAACAATAATAATAATAATTATTATTATTATTATTATTGTTATTATTATTATAATTAAAATTATTTAAACCTTTAGAATAGTCACATCAATAGGTTTGCCCAGGTTGCATCTTAGGTAGTGTGGAATCTTAATTCACGTGTGTGTGTGTGTGATGGTGTGTGTGTGTGTGGTTGGTGTGTGTGCGTGTGTGTTTGTGTGTGTGTGTTTGTCTTTATGCGTGTGGATTTGTGTCTGAGAGTGCGTGGGTGCGTGTATGTGTGTGAAATTATACAAAATGCATACAAGTACCGAATAAATAACACGTACACACACACACAAACACACACATACACAACACATACACAACACACACACAACACGCATACACAAGCACATAGAAAAATATTTAAATTAGAATTCGCGAACCAATCCATCGGTTGTATCTCTTAATGGCTTGTTACAGATCTCATCCAACACATCACCCGCCTCCATTTGTCCCTACGTCCGTATAGTTTGAGTGGATGGTTGGTTGATTGTTTGAATGATTGATTGATTGATTGGTTGAATGATTGATTGATTGTTTGAATGATTGATTGATTTTTTGTTAGAATGATTAGTTGATTGGTTGGTTGATTAATCGAGTGGTTGAATGATTGGTTGATTGTTTAAAAGATTGATTGAATGATTGTTTAAATGATTGGTTGGTTAGTTGATAGGCTGAATAATTGGTCGATTGTCTGAATAATTGGTTGAATATACAATAAACTGTTTGAAAAAACCGAAATTCAATCTATTGATCAAACAACATAATGTTTATTCACTCCATCATTAATTCATTCATTCATTCATTTATTTTCAACCAGGTGTTCAATCAATCAATCAATCAATCAATCAACCAGCTTACATTTTCAGCGGCTACACCATTCTCATTCAGTCGAAAGACAATGGCGTGACCGGCTTTGTGACTTTTAAGTGTTTGTTATTTATTCATTAGTTTAATCAATCAATCAATCAATCAATCAATCAATCAATCAATCAATCAATCAATCGATCGATCGATCGATCGATTGAACAATCATTGATTCATGCATCTGTTCATCCATTCATTCATTGATATAACTTGTTTATTTGTACAGCTATTACATCACTCATTCACTCCTCTACTGACTAATTATGAATGAATAAAATGAAATAATTAACGAAAACAAAAAAAAACAATAACAATAACTAAATTATCGCAAACTTCCATTCGAATCAATAAATAATTAAAAAAAACTTCAAAACTTGAACGACGGACGAACATGATTTCGACACCTAGCTTCTTACTAGGAACCAACGTCAGCCTCTTGAAGACCTTCAGGAGAACATTTTGTACGGATTGATTTATTCAATAAATTCTCGCTACAGTATCATTTCAAAATGATAACCACATATGATAGCAACATATGATAACGCATTTTATAATGATAAAGACCAGTGATGGTGATGTGATGTTGAACAGACAGAACTCTCAACCAACCTACCAATCAACCAACCAAACCACCAACCAAACAACCAACCAATCAACCAACCAAACCACCAACCAAACAACCAACCAATCAACCAACCAAACCACCAACCAACCAATCAATCAATCAACCAAACAACGAACCTAAACAACCAATCAACCAACCAGCCAACAAACCAATCAACCAACCAAACCACCAACCATCCAGCTAAACCACCAACCAACCAATCAATCAACCAACCGGCAATATCCAAGTATCATCCAGGAAACTTTGATTCTATAAAATGGTTTAATGTTTGTCACATTAATTGTTCTATAACAAGAGTGGGCAAACTTTTTTGCTGTGAGGGCCGCATTGAGATATATTTACCGCATATGTACTTAAATAGCAAATTTTTTCAACCCAGGGGAGATTTTTTAAGATTTGTGGCTCCTTTTTTTTGGCGAACAAAACCTAGTAGGCCGCATACAATAGCTTCGCAGACCGTAGTTTGCCCAACCCTGCTCCATAATAATTATCGCATATTTTATGTTAATTATTAATTAATTAATTAATAGTTTACACAAAATGTACTGTACATATCTGATTTTTTGCACTTCAAAGAACAGTAAACACAAAAAAAATAATGATAATAACAATAACAACATTAATAACAATAATAATAAAAATAATAATAATAATAAAGCAGACGTACATCGACGCAGAATTTGATTTGCAATTCATTCATCTGCTTGAGGACTGATATGAAAATTTCTGATGTGGAGGAATAAATCATAAAAAAATAATAATAATAATAATAAATAAATGATCATAAAAATGAGAAGAATATAGATATAATGACGAATAAATATATTATTATTAATATATAACTACAAATTTCGAAATGCTGTTTTACAATGCAAAAGATACCATGGAGCTGCGATAATAAACCAGTGGTTTGTAAAATCAGGATAAAGTTAAAAATGATATACGACTCTTATAGCAGATTCGATGGAAAAATTGAAAACAATTGTTTCCAAACTGGTTTTTGAGAGTGAAAGAAAAGGCTTGCAAATTAACATCAACAAAACAGAGTTCATGGTTATCAGCAAAAGCAAAACCGCCCCGATCTGCTCCATAATCATTTATGGTAAACAGGTGAAACAAGTCAACAGCTTCAATTATCTCAGAAGTCTGCTTACCTCAGGTTGTAAATGTGATATGGATATCAAAAGAAGGATAGCTATGGCGAAAGATGCATATTCTGAAAGGAAAAACATCCTCACCAACAGTAAAATCAGAATATCAACAAAATTTAAACTGTTAAGATGTTACATTTTTCCTGTGCCAACTTACGGCTCTGAGTCCTGGACAATTTCTAAAGAAATGGAAAAAAGATTAACGCTGCTGGGGTGTGGCTTTTGAGAAGAATTATGAAAGTAGAGTCAAAAATTTAATAAAAAAAACACATTTCTAGCTCATAAAATTATAATAAATTAAATTAAAATTAAATTAGAAGCAGAAAAATGTGGAAAAAATACTGGAAAAACCCACAACGAACCCGTTTGTATGGGGTCAAAAAAAATGCAATTACTGCTAGAATACCAGGTCTGTATGAGTGATTATTATTACAATTATTATCATTACTATTATTATTGTTATTATTATTATTGTTGTTCTTGTTCAGTCTCGATATTATCAAAGCATATTGCGAAGTCAACGTTTAAGTTTCAACTTAGAATAGCTAATTAACTAGTTTGAGAAAATATAGATTTTGGCTAATTCTAGAAAATTACAGTAGTCAGACAATCAATCAATCAATCAATCAATCAATCAATCAATCAATCAATCAATCAATCAATCAATCAATCAATCAATCAATCAATCAATCAATCAATCAATCAATCAATCAATCAATCAATCAATCAATCAATCAATCAATCAATCCATCCATCCATCCATCCATCCATCCATCCATCCACCCATCCATCCATCCAACAATCAATCAATCAATCAGTCAATCAATCAATCAATCAATCAATCAATTAAGATTAATCAAACAGGAAAAAGTAACATCTAAAAAGTTGGGTTGAGTGTTCATCAGATGGACGATGTTGTCCAGGCACTTGTTTTGTAGCAACATCCGGATCAACAACCTCCCTCTGCCCTGGTCAGTCTTCACCTACGTCATCATCATCATCATCTACGTCATCAGCATCATCTACGTCATCATCATCATCATCACCTACGTCATCATCACCTACATCATCATCATTACCACCAACAACGGCAAACACACAGTGCAGGTAAACAGACACGTGAAACAACACATCACACACACAATGCATGTGACAGGACGAACGGAATCTTCTCGCAGTCGAACCCAGTCACCGCAATAACATTGCCAAGCAATTTACCGCTACACTATCGCGCTGCCCAAACCATTCGCTTTTAGTTTTTTTTGTATAAATATTTTTGTCGCTAGTTCATTTGTTGATTTTCTAATTCAATCGATCATTCGTTTGTTTGTTTGTCTGTTTGTTTGTCTGTCTGCTTGCTTGCTTGTTCGTTCGTTTCTTTATTTATTCGTTCATTCATTTGTCTATTCGGTAGTCGATCATTCATACGTTCGTTCATTCACTCATTCGTTCACTCATTCGTTCATTCATTCATTCATTCATTCATTCATTCATTCATTCATTCATTCATTCATTCATTCATTCATTCATTCATTCACTCATTCGTTCACTCATTCGTTCGTTCATTCATTCGTTCATTCATGCATTCGTTCATTCATTCATTCGTTCATTCATTCATTCATGCATTCATTCATTCATTCATTCATTCATTCATTCATTCATTCATTCACCGACTCAAACAACCTTAAGAGAGGACTTGACAGTTTGGATGGAAATATCAAAGAAAGGATGACATCTAGGATCAAATAGTTAAAATAGGTAGATGCAGATGCCATCATCATCATCTGTATCATCATCATCATCATCATCATCATCATCATCATCATCATCATCATCATCATCATCATCATCATCATCATCATCATCATCATTATCATCAATATCACCACCAGCCTCATCATCATTATCAACACCACTATCCATATCATCATCATCGTCCATATTTTCATCATAATTATCATCATCATCTTCACCGTCAGTATCATCATCATCATCCTCATCATCCTTATCGCCACATTACTGTCAATAGCACATCATAATCATCATCCTCTTCTTCTTCATCATCACTACCACCAACACCATCGCGACAATATCCATCGCAATTAACAGAGCGTAATTATTAATTTTAAAAATTCTAAATTAAATCAAATCATATCAAAATAACAAAAAACGAAGAACAAAAAACAAAGAACTATACAATCAATAAAATAAAAAATAGATAATATATCTGTAACATTGTAAGTGTTTCTGCGTATGTCAGAGCTGCAATAATAAAGACTAAAAAAAAATTATTTATTAAACCTGATTTTATTTTTTTTCAGAAACGCGTTGTAAGCCTCGAAGAACCTCCAGTAATCGTGCATCACAGATTGAAACACCGTCAATGACGCTAGCAAAACGGCGGGAAAATTTGAAATTATTCAAGAAAAATTAATTAAAATTAATAAAAAGATATTAAAAAAATCATAGTTGTAATATAAATAATGCTAAAGCGAACAAAAACGTTCATCTTAATTAATGAAGCGTTGAATTATGACGTAAGTTTCAAGTTATTTCAATTGCAATCAAAACACTTCAAAATATGTGTGTGTAATTGTGTGTATTTGCCTGTATGTCTGAGTGTACGTGTACACACATATTTGTGTAGGTGTGTTATTGAATGTGAGCTTGTGCGTGTACATGTATATGAATGTGTGTGTGTGTGTGTGTGTGTGTGTGTGTGTGTGTGGTGTGTGTGTGTGTGGTGTGTGTGTGTGTGGTGTGTGTGTGTTTGTGAGTTGAACGAACGTTTCATTCCTCTCCTGAAGAGCATTTCAAGTTGCTCGCAGAACAAGTGGAGATATTCATGCTGGTCAGTAACTGGCTGGTTCATGGTCAGGTGGTAGACATTTTCTAAGGGGAAATCAACAAAACATGTTGTTAGGCTGGTACATAATTTTCTACTTTTTTTTATATAAAAAAAAATTTCAGTTTTGAAATGCATAGCATTTTGTCTACAATAATGAATTTTTCTTAAGACAAATGTACTTAGATAAGAAGTATTTTCATAATATATTACTGATTAATATTCACTAATACTTTCACCTAAGACATATGTGTTAATAATATTTACACATACAAATGTAAATTAAATAGTAATTAAATCTTTAATATCTGCAGATTGAAAAATAATTTACAATCATTATTAATATTATCATTGCTATGTCAGCTTTGTATGTATATACAAATTAAACATTAACATGGCGATGATGAATGACATTGTGTAACTTTTCACAATCATTTACTCATCACTGTCAGCTGATTGTATCATAGTATAAGAATGAGTGATTAAGAACAAGTTGATAACTTTTCATGTTCTTAACTAGTGGATCTGTTACTGCTGACATGCTGATCTTCTTCGGTGTTGGTGACGATGGTCTGTTCATCAATTCAATGGAAGTACAAGATATTAAATTTAATGAAAAACACAGGCTCAAAAATATTATTTCACAAAATAAGGGTTGCCATACGATACGATATGAAGTGAGATCAGATGTGAGATCTAATCAAATAAGTAGTAAAAATTAAACAATAGACATGTAAAAGTAAAATTTTAAAATGAACATTGGTATAAATAACAATTGGTATAACCTGTCTGTGCTATACCTTTTATATGTGTAATAAAGAGTTTTTATAAATTTGTAAATGCAATAATAATGCAATATTTAATATAATAAAATAAAAGTTTATATTTTTTCATGTTTTTAACTGTTATTGCTGACATACTGTATAATAATATATTTATACAAGATATATTCATAATTCAATTAAAATATAATTAAATAAATCACTGTTGAAATGATTTGAATTTGAAACATGAAAAATATATGAAATATAGATAAATCTAGTTTATAACCTTATGACTATGTTAAATCTAATCAAATAATAATTAATTGAATATAGAATTAATTAACAAACAAGAAATGGGAAAAATTGAAGTGTAAAAAAGTGCTAAATGTTCTACTGCCAACAGCAAAACCAGAGTAAAATAAAAACTTACACAAAAATCTGAAAAAAAAAATTAGTAAAACGATATTTAAAAAAAATTGTTGTAAAAAATAGTTTTAGTGTTTCGTTTAATTTAACGTACGTTGTGTAAACAAACTTTTTTGTTTTTAATTTTTAGACATTTACTTTTAAACGTTTTAAAAAAAGTTTACTTTTAATTTAAAAACCAAACTAAATCAAATTTACGTACACGTGTGCTAGAGTTGGCTTAACGAGCATAATATAATATAATCAATAATATAATATAAATAGTTAATTATTAATAATGGCCGGGGTTCGCGAAAGCAAAAATTTGCTGAGAAAAAATATGAAAAAAATTATTTCTTCTTTAAATGACAGTCAGAAAACGGCCCAGTCGGATAAAGTTTTGGAAAAGGTTTTTAAAATAAAAATAATAAAATAAAACAAACATATTTTTTGAAATATTAGATAAAAATTGAAGTTTTTTAAATTTATTTTAATCTTTAACACTAATTTGGTCAGTTTTGAGGCTTAGTTTAGTAGGATTTTAGTTTAGGTTGAGACTTAGATATCAAAAGCTTGTTGCATCTGATAATTATAAATGAGTTGACACTTTTTTGCAATGTTTACACAGTTGTAAACTTTAGGGTTGTAAACGTTGCAAAAAAGTGTCAATTCATTAATTTTATTTAATAATTTTTTAAAAATATAAAATTACTAAAAATGATAACTAAAAGTGCTCGTCAAGCTTTGCTTTGGTCCAATATTTTTCAAAAAAGCATTTTAGGCTGTGCATTTTTAAACAAATTTCATCGAAATAGGTTTATGCTGAAGAGAGTGATGTTTTATATAGAATTTGACATTATAAATTATTGGTTATATGAAAAAAATTAAGCCTGTGGTGATTTTGATATTTTCTGTTAATGGCTTTTTAGTGAATGGGAGTGCTCATTTTATTTTTATCATGCTGATAAATTATTCAATTATTTATAATATAAAGTTAATTTTATAGAAATCCATCCATCCTAAGAAAGTTATCGATTATTAAACACTACTACTCAACGACGCAACTTCTTTTTATATATTTTATTTATGGTCAGGAAAGTAAATTGAGGCTCTGTTCATTGAGTGAACAAACAGACTTCAACGCAATACGTTTTACAATTATCACGTCATAGAAATTAATTATCAATACAGAGAAATTGAAAGAAAACGATCAATCACACAATACCAAAAAAATGGGTTTATCATTTTAAACTATCGGACAAACATTTTCCGAAGTCTTAAATTGTCAGCTTTCAAAATATTAGTTTATACATATACAAATAAAATAACTATAAATCAAACTGCAGCCAAGAACATTATCATATTATATAAAAATGTATATATAACAAAACAGAAAAAAATTAATAAAAATGACAAAAGAACACAATAACAACAATAGCAACAACAAAAACACAAAAAACATGATGAGCATCTTTTGAATTTTCCAATAGCTAGCGGAACATCGGCCGGATAATGAAATTTGTCTTTCGTTTCGCTTGGCAAACCTTCATAACTAGATCTTCAGGCATGTCATCTCATCTTATTCTTGTTTTTCGTAACATCCATCCAACTGCACCTCATCTCGTTAAGCGACTTTTTTGGTTTCTGTGGGTAGTGTCGATTGTCTTATAGAGTTATAATTTGATAATGTTTAAAACGTATGTTTTAGTTTTGAATGCTCAATTTTTTATATAACTTAAACTCTCCCGAGTAAAACACATCAACGGTCAAGAGTCACGTCACTCTAAACTCGTATACGTTTACATGTATGTTTAAAGAATTGTGTATGTGGGTTTGTTTAATTAAGGATGAACAGCTTTCAGAGATAAATTAATTTTCCATTCCAACGATACAGCATCTTTGGTTTCGTATGCGGGAACTGCACGTGCTTATTTTTAACAACCTGGTCGTTTTATTAATTGTTACATAGCTTACCTACTAGGATTATTTAGACTGTGATTTTTTTCCTTCAGCAAACGTTCAACAAAATTTTTAAGGTATAAATTGTGGAATTAAATTCTAACCGAACTGAAAGGAGTTACTGCAATAATATTAATATAAAAAAGGTTTAATAATTTAAATTAATTCATTGAAAATTTTTAACCGAAATTATTTTATTATTTATTTATAATTTTTTTAAACAAAGGTTTTTTTTGAAGAAACTTCTCTGCAATGAAGATGGTTTGTGAGATTGAAGAAAGTAAAAGTGTCGATGACGTAGAAGATATTGTCTTAATTTCTAAAACAGGTGGTCGTTTTATAGTCGACGCTGCTTCGTTTTATCAGTCAAGTGGTTATTATCGAGCTCTCAAAAAGAGTGGAATGAAAGATGCCCAGTGTAAAGAGCTCAAATTTGAATATTTTACAGACAATTTTTTAGCGGAGGTTGAGAAGTATTTTTCGAAAGTGTCATCAAGCAACGTGGATATAAGTGACCAGCTTATGAAGAGGTTGGATGAAGTTGAGGAGGAGTTAAATGGCGCATTTTATTTGCAAATCAATGGTCTGGTCGATCACTATGTTTTATTGGTCTTGAGGTATTTGAATATCAAAACATGGAGACATATTTTAGATATTGCCTACAAATATGCATTAGATTCACTGAGCCATAAGATTTTAGATTTCGTTGCGAAAAACTTCAATAACCTTCAAAAGCATTCTGAACTGCTAACATTAACACCCAATGAGATGTTTTACTTGGTAAAATCAGACCTGGTTAGCGCCAGTAGCGAGATTGACATTTTCAATTTCGTCGTTAAATGGTTTTTTTATGATGAATCGAGGAAACCTCATGCCGAAAAGTTACTTTCCGAGGTGAGGTACAGTTTGATGAGAACAAGTGATGAAAAGCAGTGCAGAGGCGTGATTGAAACGCTTGCTTTAAGGGTTTGTCTGACTAAACACGAGGTGAAATTTCGTGATACTGTCGACGTCTTGCTTGCTTTTGGAAAAAGGGGACAACTGGTTAGCAGCTGCTATATGTTAATTGTTAATTAAATTTTCACTTCCGTTTTAGTAATTATCATTTTGATTTTTTCATTCATTTGAAATGTTTTACCTTTATGGCTTTCTGTTTGCTTTTGTTTTATTCATATAAACATTTAAAAGAAATCAATTAAAGCCATGAAGTTTATCATATAGAGACCGAATAAGGCTATATAGTTTTGTGTTTTTGTCCGTAGTAGCTATATGTGTATATATATATATCTATATATCATTATCTTTTTTATTTTTAACTGGTTTATTTTTTAATTTGGATCATTGTTTTGTCGAAAGACATTTAACAGATGATACAAAAATTAACTTCTTTGGAAGTAGTTCAGTAGAAAACATTTCAATTTGGTACATTGTAATTTTCAGAGTCCTTTAGTTACACAGATCCTACCCGTTAAGGAACTCACGAGAGCCTGCAAGTACAGAAGTATGTTTCGCCGCATGAAAAGTCAACGAAAAAACAAAAGCATTGCACCCCTCGTCAAATTTCGCTGCAATGAAAAGAAATACTTCCAGGGATTGTACAATTTTGGCTCCTGCGTGGTCAACAATTGTGTGTATATAGCTGGAGGGCAATATCTCGAGTCTGAATATTCGGCTGCTGTTTATTCTTTTAACCCTATTCGAAACAAATGGAAGCCGGTCCGTTGTATTTTTCAAAAAAGTTATTTTTAAAACCTTTCGAGTTTGTATTGTTAATGCACACATTTTTTTAATTTTTGTTTTTGTATCTATATATTTGTATGCAATAAGCGAGTGGTTTTCTTTTAAGTCTAAAACTCGTTAAAAATGTTGGAATGTTAGGATCGTTTCAGTATTACGTAACGTTCCTGGGGACGATGGGGCTCCAGATTTTGCTACCGTTTATTTATTTATTTTTTTTATTAGTAAGAAAAGTAAGTAAGAAATAGAAATGATACGGTGATCAAAAAAAAATCATATGATAGACCACCGTTAAACAGAAAATAATACGTTTAAATGTAAATAGATAAATTAAAAAATATTAAAGCTACTGGAAAATTGAATCCAAATGAAACTAAATAATGGCAAATTTATAAAATGAACGATAATGTTCATTATTCTATTCAAGTTTAACAGACAAAAGAAAGGATTTGCAACAATATTTAAATCGACTTGGTTTAGAAATCGTGATGATAGATTTGATTTGTTACGTAAAAAATTTTCAAATAAACTTAAAACATTTTTGAAGAAATAAACTAATTAAGAACTGAATAATATAAATGTTGTTAAAATTAAGACTTTCATTGAATAAATAAATAGATTGATATATATATTATATATATATATAACTTTAAAAGTAAAAATTGTTTTTTATTTGTAAAAAATTATGTTGTTATTTAACAAGTCGTTTGTAATGGAAAAGGGGGAAATGTGTTTTTTTCTGTTACATGGTACTCGAATGGCCCCTATGTGATCGTAATTCTGGAAATCCTTGCAGCTTCATTTACATTTCAATCGGCGCATAAGGCTTGTTATATGTATGCCTGATAATTATCATTTAATTTTGACGCACTACTTCTAACGACTTCACATTCTGCTATTTAATTAGGATGTCTGACTTTTTCATGCCAAAAGTTATTATTCTTTTCGCTTGTTTAAATTTTTTAACACAACACAAAATGATCTGACCTTTTTTGTTGTTTTTAAATTTTCCAGCTTTCCAAAATGCCTACTCAAAGAGCCTCATTCTACTTAGGCGAGATTAATGGAAGTTTGTACGCAGTTGCTGGATGCAGATCAGATGATGGACACAGATCAGTTGCAACCTCAATAGTTGAAAAGTATATCCCTGAGGAAAATCGTTGGTACAAGTTGGCACCTCTACCCACAGCTGTTTATGATTTGGCAGGTCAGATAATTTTGTGTTGTGTATCGCAAAATTTAGCAATGTAAGTTCCTAGTTTATCTCTGTGTTCCATTAATTTGATGTTCATAGTACAACGGCAGTACCACGCTTTTAATAATAATTTTGAATAAACCCAGAAATCTTGCAACGATTTCAGGTTGCACATATGGTGGTGATTTGTATGTAAGCGGAGGAAACATCATCATCGATGGAGTAAATAGGAAGGCGAAGGAGTTGTGGATGTACGATCCAACGTTTGAAGGATGGCTCGCAAAGGCTCCCATGTTGACCGCTCGGGGTCGTCACGTTATGGCCTGCTTCAGTAACAAACTGATTGCTATTGGAGGGCAGTCAATTTTTTCTAACCTCTTTGTTAGCGTTCATTGGCTTATTTTCTTCTGGAACTAGAATAGTTTTTTATTTGAAACATTTAGGTTTTTTTTTCACAATTTAACTTAATAGAATCGGTATAAAAATTTTGAAAACAACAATACTGCTTTGTACGTCATTATATTCATCAATAAATGACTTCGATACAGGATGGAGAGATATATGATTGTGAAACAAACCAATGGACTTGCATTTTGAGTCTGAAAAAGCCAGTCTGCAGTTCGACATATGCCATTGTCGACAACTGTCTCTACCTGTTCTCTACAGGTCAGAATTTCTTTCAGAGATTCAATTTGACGAAGTATCTCAAAGTGGAGAGCGACAAAAATGAATCCCCGCTTCTGAAGGATGTCTTAAACCAAGACAAAAATAAGATTTTCATTTCTGATAATTTGCCCAAAAGATATTCCTCTAACATTTTTGATGACGATTGCAAACTTTATAAATTTAAAGCTTCTCATAAAATTTTGGCCAGCGTCAGTGTCATCCGGTTATCAAAGAATTACCTGAGAGGCTTCAAGTAATGACAAAATATAGATTTGTTTTCAAGTTACGTTTTTAGTTTAGTTTGTTAAGGAATTGTCGATATTACTGTTTGTGTGTGTTTTCCCATTATTCAATTGCATTTGGTATTATATTGTATTTACGTTTTTATAATTATGCTAGTGCGTGCTAAATCTGTAGTCTCGTGTGTTCGTTTGTTACAAAAATTACTCCGTCTAAAATGTTTCAATTTGATAGTTTTCAAATATAAAATTTTATCAAACGAAACATGCCGAGCTATTCCATGCATCAACTGTTGAAGTTTTTATAAAAAGCTTATGTTTATTTTATTATAAAAATCAAATTTTTAGTTTCTTACAACCAAAATTTTGTAATGCAATTTAACTTTTTCCTTCGGTATATCCGTAAAAATGCAAATATCTCAGAAACTATAGGCTGTAGCTAAATAATGTTGATAATAAAAGTTTAAGAAAATAAACAGATTAACAAAATAAGACCAAAACCATGTTTCTATGATAAACCGTTTTCATTTAACAAACAAATGTGATTTTTTCCAAATTGTTTCAAGATTTCAACTTCGATGTGGCACGGGTTAACATCATCCAATTGAGCTAAAACTTTCCTTTTTTAGCCAAGTGGCACGATTTAGGGAGTCGCCCAGTTAAGATTTTGAAAAAAATTTTGTGACCACCATAATGTTCATGTAATATGTATATATGTAATTTCACATACTATTTGGTGGTTTCCAGAACCAATGTAACAATGAAAAAAGATCCAATGGAGCGGTTCACTTTCCGTTATACAATTTCTGTTTGAAATATCCCATCACACGGTTCAATCTTCATTTGTTGAAACGTTAGATCGAAACGATGACATCGTGTCAGAGGTGTGTCCGAGTACATGGATCTCGCTGAACAAGTTGCAAGCTTTTGCAGAATGAACAGTTTTCATGCATATGCTGTATGCCTGGCACATTATTATTTTTATCTACCAGTGTGGATTTAGTTTTATTTTATTTAAATGTTAATGATACCAAATCATACATCTACATCCAATGTTGTTTCATCCTTGTAGCTTGTGTCAACTGAAAAATGGCGCTCCAGTCGGAATATATCTCTTTATCTGAATATGCCGAGTGAAGTTTCGACATCTGAATTGTTGCAGCTGAGTTTCCAGGAGAAAAAGTCTGTTTTCATACCCCGGTACAGTGAGACCGACATGGAGATGGTTGAGATTCATTCAATGGAGGATTACAACTGCCTACCTGTTACATCATGGAAGATCAAGCAGCCTCTCCTCACTGATGGTGCCAGAAAAACTCCGTCATTTGATAACGGTGCATTAAATAAATTTTTCAGTTCTTTTATTGTTTTTTAGTAATTATGGTAGTTTTTGATTTGTTTCTTAAATTAAAAAATTATATTAAAGTGAAAAAATTTGAAGTGTATATTGTGTATGTTTTATATTAATTTATGTTATATATTGTATTGATATTAGCACTTCTCAGTTCCAATTTACCTAGCTAATGGAAACAAAGCGTTCACAGTTCTTATTATATTTTTAGATGGCTAACATGCAGCTTATAATGATTGCAAAAATAATGCTAACAACTGTAGTCTGAATAATAAATATATTCAGTGTTTTTTTGTAAAAAAAAAAAAAGATATCGGTACTCATTTTTTAAAAATATCAATGCTAGCCAACATTTTTGGCCGATGATGTTTTTTTTTAATCTTTTTTATGCTTATCATTTTTCGGTGAAAAAACCTCCATGGGAAAGCTAGCCCACAAAACTTACGTTCAAAAAAGTGCCGGTACGCCGTCACAAAAATACACTGAATATAATAAAGTGACGTATTAAATAATTACAAATTATTTAGGAGGACTTGACCTAATCATTGTTCCTGGTTTGGCCTTCACGAAATCCGGAATTCGGCTAGGAAGGGGAAAGGGGTATTACGATAAATACTTGCACGAATATCGAACAAAGTTTAATAAACTACCGTATCTCGTAGCTCTGGCTTTTAATGAACAAATCGTTGATGAAATTCCGACAACTGATCGAGATGTGAAAGTTGATATGATTTTGTCGGCAGATTGTTGCGTAGAAATTTCAGCATAAATCCTGACACTGTCGAACAATTGAATATTCAAAAAATGTCAATTTCATCAATTTTGTTGAACCATTATTTATATAATTTTTCATCATTGATTATGTAGGCGATCAATCAATCATGCAATCGGTTCACCAACCATTAAGCTGTTCATTCTATTTTGATGCATTTTTAATTAATAGTGAAGCTAAATCTATATTTTTGAAATATCTGGCCACTGTTCAATTTGCCAAAAAATATAACAATTTTCATGTTGGTTTGGTTTCTATTTTTGTTCAAATGTTCTTCTTCAACGTTCGTTTCTCAGAAACTCTATTTAGAACGCGGTCAAACAATAATCGTCATTTTCTTCAATACAAAACAACAACAGAATATAATTGATCACTTCTCAACGTTGGTTTTTTCACACCTTTCAGAAAGCTCAAAAAAGTGAAATTTTTGTATGGGTAAATGTAATTATCTTTGAATCGTCGAATTAGTTTCAATAAGTTTTGGTTATTTTCTGGCTAGGTTCCGTTTTTCTGATAGAGGTAAAATTAAAGTACAAGTTTTTTTTATTGGTAATTCAATTGTTTTCAACGAAAATTTAGATTTGTTATATAAAAATACTCGACAAAGATCTGTCATTAGTTGGTGTTTGAAGGAAATTAAGAGCACAAATCTGAGATTAGATATTTTTATTTAACAGTCATATTCAGCATCGCAAAGCGCGCTCACAAACATTAAATTTAAAACCCTTTAAATTCAGAGAGCAGTGACAAACAGATGGAAGTGAGATGTGGTTGTTTCATATCGAGCCACCAAGGTCAGTCGTTGACCTTTGAGAGTTCAAGGAAAGGCTGCAGTCTTGTTCCGGAAGTATTTATATGTTGTGGAAGTATAGGATACACCTCAAGGCAGATCTGCTGCATCGACAAACACGACCATTTTGCTCCCTCTTTCGTGGATAAGTGCCGCATGACTAACCAGCAGTTCGATAGCGTTGAAAAGTTGTTCGGAGCTGACAGCGTGGCTTTCCACAGAAGCATCTACAAGAAGAACTTCACCGATGATGACTACGTGTCTGCCATGCAAAAGTAATTCTATAAATTGATAGGCCAGCGGCTTGTGTCCTAAAATTTTGCTTTTAATAAAATTAATATTATTTGATTAAATGATATTTGTTTGAACAAGAATCGAGCAATAATGTTTTTATGTGTGATGTAATGTAAGTTATTCGAAAAAATTCTCAATCAAATGAATCCTGGTCGTAAAACTCCTAAAGGTCCAACTTGATGTTTATCTTGATGATGACGCTGGGTTTCTTCACAGTGCCCGTTTTGATGGTGTGTGCTAAGGTGTGTCTGCAACGATTGGATGCCCGCATCAGCTTGTGGTTCCGCTACCAGCAAAATGGTCAGCTATGTTTTTATTTGAAACTGTTTTTATATCAAATAATTTCAAGTACGGAGAAAGATAATTTTAAAAATGTAAATAAATGTATATTAATTTACAAAACAAACACCTGCAAACGACATCAGAAATGTTCAGTAGGGAACCAAGTCCCTTACCTGCCGTCCCACTAAACGAGACCTACTCACTGCCCTTAGCCTCCCAGCCAAACACACTGGTGGACATGCACTCCTTTGTCCCTGTATCATTCGTCTTCCAACCTCCGCCCTACAGCACAACTCCGAAAGAACCGCCAAAATACTCGACATTGTTTCCAATTATTGCCACCGAAATTAATGGAGATGGCGGCAATGAAGCTTGCAACGTTGATGCTTGTTCCGCTGGTGTCATCCAGATGCAAAGTGTCCCCGCTAACATGGAAAGTAGCTCCGCTAATGCTGCTGCTGATGGTCGTCTGTTCGATAGAGACGATAGGCAAGCCGGCCGAGAAGCGAATTCAACTCATTAAATTGATACCCTGGCTGTTGTTTTGAGTTCACGATGGTTTATTTTGTTACGGTTAATATGAGAGTCATTAGCTGCTAGCTTGCTTGTTGAGTGTTTTAATCATTCCGGTCTGATTGTTATATAAATTTTACTCTCCGGTGGAACGGTTTGATATTTCATACGTTACAACCTCTTCGATTATATTTGTTGTTGGATTGCTTATTGATGAAAACATTTCATTTATTTTTTTTTTGATCGGTTGATGAGATTTTCGTCTACTTATATATTTTTGATTTTACAATTATATTCTTGCTCAATGTTTCAATGTCTATTTGATCAGCAACGTCATGAACCATGCACACAGTGTAAACAATGTAACATCAATATAAACATAAAAATGGTAAACGTAAAAAGTTTCTAAAGATGAAATACAAAATGCAAAAAAAATGTTTATAAACAAAAGAAAAAAACCTTCTAGCACGATTAATATCTCTCAATTCGCATCGTAAACGAAGTCATGGATCCGCAGCTGTTGCAATGTTGAACTAATTAGTTAATCTGCAAAAAACGCGAAGTGTTCTCTATAAGCTCCTCAAAACATTACGACAAAATAATTTTTCCCAATCAACTAAATTATTCGTTTTTAAAAATAACTATAGAAGAAATCACTTGGCAAAAATAAGTCGCAAATGAGTGCTCCAGAGACCACTCAATGAAAATGACGTACATCAAGTTAGCCAGGACTTGCCAATAAAAGGTTTTTACTTATTTTGATTCGGGCCAGCGCAGACTAGCAAGAAGCACCATGCAGACAAAATGTGGTTGCTTCACACCGGGGCTCGAGTCGGCCTCCTCACTCATATTCCAAGGATCCGGACAGAACTGCAGCGCGCAGAAAAACTCGTTCATCTGCTGCGAAAATTACAGCTACATCAGTGACAATAAATTCCTCTGCTGTCTGGATAAGTACGAGCAAAGTGCGCCAGCTTTTGTTGAAAAATGCCGCCTGACAGACCAGCAGTTGGATGCCATTGAGAAATTATTCGGACCAGGCTCTTCCATCTTTCACAGATCCATTTACAAAAAGTACACAACCACAGATGACGATTTTGCTATATTTCATAGGTTTTATATTAATTCATTTCTAAATTATTCTATACTTTGTTCATTTGTTTAGTTGCATGTTCAACTGTTTCAGCTAAACCATAAAATATATTTAGAAAACCTTTCTAATACAAATACTCGCGTACACACTTACAAACATACGCACTGGCACGCAAACTGAACAGATCAGGCCTCTTGTACGCAATGGTCCTCCTCTGTTGTTTCCTGGCTGTTCCAGTACTTTGCTTCTGTTTCAAGACTTTTGTTGAGAATTTGGAGCAGAGGTATGGAGTCATCAACCACCAACGACTAGGTCCTGCCAGTTCCACAATAATTTATTGATAACTTTAATAATGATTTATGTTCATTAAAACTTGTTAATTATTTTCTTTAAAATAACTATTTCCAGATATTTCATGATGAATTTTGACATTGAGAAATTGTTTTTTAAATGCACATTAATTTAAACATTAAAAAACAAAAAGCGTGCAAAAGTTATAACATGACCCAAAACAGCCGGTATAGGAAGCGATGGAACGCATCTGACAGACAATCGCCATCTTTCGGTCCTTAACCAACTCGGTCCGGAGCAGAGAACTCTGAACGATGCTCATTCTTATCTGCCATTTGCGGTACAACCACCCTCGTACAATTCCATACCGAAGGAACCGCCTAGATATTCTAGCATCTTTCTCATTGACAGTCATCGGTCGAGTGTAAATAGGTCGGAAGAGAATAGCAACCACGCTGTGGATGAGGCGGTTTTCGTCGCAGAACCAACCGAAAACGTCAACAGAGATGGTGGGGTCACCGGGTCAAATGTTTAATTTAGTAATTTATTTACTAATTTATTAATAATTCCTAATTAAATGCTTCTATTGGTTTGCGTTTGCTTGAGTGTTATTTTTTCTGGTCTTTGTAATTTATGATTTTGTTTACTTATTATCAATATGACCATTTTCGACATTTCTTCGTACCATCAGAACAATTGTCATTGTTCTTCTATCTATATTTACCAAAATTGTTATTACTTTTGAATTATATAATTCTTTACAGTCGTCAACAACTTTTCAGATGACAATTAGTGATGATTAAAAAATTGTTCCAAATAAAGCATGGGCGTTGGACGTTGCTTGCGTAAAATTTTACAGAAAATTTTATTACTATTTAATATCAATAATTTATTTATTTCGACCCAATGAGTTGGTCGATCGTTTTATTATTATGGAGATGCGTAATCAAAACTGGTGTTTTTCCAATATCATTTTTTCGGATTAAATTTTTTTTAATTGTAAACATATTTTATATTAATTTTTAAAATTTCTTTTTAAAACAATATTTTACATGTTTCTTTTATAAGATGATATATAAAACAAATATCTGAATACAATCGAAAATAAAATTGAATTAAATTAAATAAAAAAAAATTCTTTTTTTAATAATTATTTTCAATCGTCATTTCAAATGTAAACATAAACAGCCGTAAAATTTGTAAATGTGCATTCAACTCATTCGAGCAACTTGTTGAATTCGGCATCAGATACGAACAACTCCATAAATTCTTTTGGATTAAAACTAGTTTTTTTATTAAAATAAAGATATTTTAAAACTGCAGCCTGTATAATATGCAGATAAGTATAGCCAAGTCTTTGCTGTATGTTGCTTTGTTGTTGATTATTGATGATAAAAGTGAGTTGTGAACATTTCAACATGATTTTATCCTCATATATGTCATCATAACCATAAAATAAATTATACGATCACCATTATCACCTTTATAATTATCCACAATATCGTCAGTAGCATCTTCAACACCATGCTCATCGTTATCATAACACCATGAAGATCATCCTCATCATCATCGAACTTTCCACAGCGTCCATGAGTTCCACACCTTCGAATCGTCATCAGCAGGAACATGCCATCCCAATGGTCACGTCAGCGTTCCAGATGGAATGCAATTGTTACAAACAACAGGAACATCAGCAGTTAAATCAACAACAACAACTACCCCCACAACAACAACAACAACAACAACAACAACAACCTGACCAGCAACATCTTCAGCACCATTTGCAGACCAAAATTTTCAAGCTTGACTACGCAAACTGCAACAACAAACAAGTCAGCATTTGTTGCAGAAAAAAACAAACAACAACGACAAAGACATCAGTAATAACATCAGAAACATCAACAACAACCTTGTCACCAGCAACATCAAAATCAACAACAACATCCCCCACAACAAGTACTACCAACACTACGATTACAATGTCACACGTCAACTCCGACTTGTGTTGTATCCGAAGGTACGGGCGTGAATTCCCAGCAAATGTAGAGGCGTGTGTCATTAACGAGGACCAAATTGTTACCCTCGTCACACAACTGATGAACTTCAATGATTTAAGAATTGGTCGAAATGCTGGGAATTCCTCTTCCGTGAAACACCATGATGACTTTTGGAGGTGTTAGACGTATGAGTGGGCGGATCTACGATTGGGTGGATCGGTGTTGGTCGTTTACTGTGAAATGAAAATGTTTGTATGGAGCGGAATAGGTGACGTTTTTTGCTTGTTTAAATTCACTTCACAATAATTTTATTCTCCGGATGTAATGTTTTTATCATAAATACTGACCTACGTGCAGTCTAAATTAAACATTTTTATAATAGATAAATAAATACATATAGTCCGGATATGACATTCTTTTAATAAATACATATGGTTTGGATATGGCGTTTCGATTTTCATACAGACCAGATATAACATATTTATAATGAAATCCCACATAGTCCGGATTTAATAGAAAGCCTCCTCATCTTTGTCCCCATTCTCATCCTTTTCCTGGCATGTTACTCCTCCAGGAATTATGTGAACAATCTGCTCAAAAACTTCAGGGAGATGTTCCAGATCCGACCGAGACAAACTGAAAGTGAAATTTTTCATTCGTTACTTTCGGTTTCGTATTCGTGGATATATCTATTGCGATGTTTCGCAATTGTTTAATGTGGACATGCTGGATATCCTGCTTGGTGTTTGTTTCAACATTTTTTTAAGTATTTTCGTTTAGTTTAGTTTTTAACTGGAGTTTTATTTGGCATCTTGATTTCATTACGATGTTAGTGAATGGATGTTAAGATATTTCATTACACATAAAAAATTTTTTGTAAGAATTTTTGGTAATTTACATATAAAATGATTCATCGAAAAATAATTTTATGTTTGATGTACATTCATTTGTTTACTTTACTACCCAAAACAGCAAATATTTCGCTAAGGGACTGTCAACCGCACAATCTTTCAGTACCGCCCTCACCACCATCTTCTTCAGCGTCGCCATCACCAACACCTAGATTTTCCTACCTACCATTTCTCGTCCCACAACCACCACCCTACCAAAGCATTTTTCCACAACCCCCACCATCAGACCAGCTCTCCAGTTATTCTACATTAAACAAAGTAAAAAACACAAATGTCCCAAAAAATTCACAAAAATCGCAAGAAGGACCGCCGAGTGTAGCTGGGGTAGAGGGATCTGCCAACGACGCTGTCGAGGCATTGCCGCCAAACAACACTACATGTCAACAATGTTGCCAACATTTCCAGCAGAGTTGTCAACAATCATCCGCCAATACGCAACAGCCACAACAAATCGTCATTCGCATACCTCCAGCCCTGACAAATGCACACAATTTTGTGAGTAAAAATTTAAAAAAGATACAAAATAAGTTGATTTCTTCTGTCCAGCAAGCTGTTCTGACGCAACAGCAGCAGCCGCAGCCACCAATACAGCAACCACAACAGCATCTACCTCTGCACCAGCAACAACATCTTCCAATGCATCAACTCAGTTCCACTTAATCTCAACAGCAACTAAATAGCATGCAAAGTACTTCGAGACCATGTACCTCGTATAGATAGACAACACTGGATGTCATTTTAATTTCGTGACTATTCAGTTATGAAAGGTTTTTTTTACGATGGTGCAAAATCATCATATCTTCTATTATTTAGCAATAAATTAGTAATAATTTCATCACTGTTTTGATAACTTCTTTGATGATATCGTTAAATAAAATGTATTACGTTCGTTTATTTATAGGCATTGATAAGCGTGTTAAAGTTATCATTTGAAATACATTATATGGTTTTAAAATATAATGAATAGAATGAGAATGTCAGGGTTAGGTAATCGTTTTGTTCATTTCATCAAGTACTCAAATAATGAATGATTGGCGAGTATCAAGTTGTTACGAGTAAGAGAAGTCGGACAAATAGTATTCGGCAAGTTTTCATTTTTCTATTTATATGCCTATCAAAAAATGATAGGCAGTGCTCTCAACGTGTGAGTGTTATCAACTGTTTAACTAACGAAATTACACTTCCAGTTATGCTTATAAATATTTATAAAAACTAGATTCACTGACATTCATATTGGGAAGATGTGTATTAAATGACTTATAGTTAATAGGACGGTAAACATAGCATTCAATTAATATTAAGCACTTCGCTTTCTACCTGCCTCCAATAATAACCTTAATAAAGCAAACAGAGATACATTATTGCAACTGAATTCTTCACTGCGTGCTTCCGATTGCATTCATGTTTCATGCCACACTTCTAATAACACATTATCGGAACGCATAATATATATATAACTTATGTAGGATTGGTTATTGTAACTCGCTCTACTATGGCCTTCCTGATTCTAAACTCTATCCTTTAAGTAAAGCTTTCAACTCAGCTGCTCGTCTAGTTGTTCGTGCCCCTTTCTTTTCTCATATATCTCCATATCTTGTTCCCTTGTACTGGTTACCTATAAAATATAAATAATTTTTGAAATTTGCACATTTTATGTATAATTCTCAATCTAAAATATTTTCTAAATACTTAGATATATAAATCGAACTTAAACGCGCTGGTTTACGATCGTCTTCTTCTTCTTCTCGCTTCTTCCTAACTCGTGTTAAACATTCTTTTGCTAAATCTGCTTTTGCTTTTTTTGTTTTTTTTTTCTTTGGAACTTTTTACCTCCTTCTCTGACTACTTCTCCATCACTTACGAAGTTCAGAGAGGATCTCAAGACCCATCTGTTTGCAAAATTCATTGAGGAGCGCTGTTGAACATCGCGGAAATTGATTGACTGGATTGATTGCATGATTGATTGACTTATATAATTAAGATCATCTAAATTGTTTATTAATTTTTTCTTATATGCAGCGAAAAAATTTTAATAAATTATTTTTAAAAACACTATTTTGAAAAAATATTTATATTTTAGATAAGACTTGCTTCTTTTAAAGACTACAAAATTTATTGTAATACTGAAAGAAAATGAATTGAACTGCCCATTAACTCAATGATTGAATGTTTTGGGAGTTTGTTGAATGTTTCCAAATGAAAAGAACCTGATGCTTGAACGTTTGAATTGCTCTGTAAAGCTTCGTGTAGGCTAAATAAATATTAAATGAACAGATTATAGTATTCAGAATAACAAAACAATTTTTTTAGATTAGCCTTTTATTCTAACATTGGAGCTGCGAAGGTGCACCATCCTTTCATGCCTTAATTACCTCAGCAATATTAACATAATGAACGAATGAATGAGTGAATGAATGAAATATTTCATTTGACTTTTTAAAAAAACATTAAATAAAATAAGGTCGAGGATAACTGTGGAGTCGTACACAGCCAGCTTCTTCTTCTTTCTCGTGCCTTATCCTTTCAGGACATTGGCGACCATCGACCTCCACAAAACCCGATCTTTAACGCTTTGTAAGAGTTGAAATGTGGTGATATTCAACAAACGACACAAAGACTTCACGAATGTTGTTCGTTGTTGACCGCGATCTCTTCTCCCTGCAATCTTTCCAGCCAGCTTAAGAACAAAATATACACTTTATTCGAGAATTTTCAGCCTCCTTTCTGTTCAAGATAAATAAAAATTTTAAATTAAATTAATAAAGATACCTATCCAAGCTTGCTAAGAGCATTAACTTGCGGGATTGCTCTTCTTCATCTAAATCGTTCGTCACATGACATTCAGTAAAACATCGATAAAGCCGAGCCGGAGATGGGGTACAAGACACATCACTTGCACCTATACAGCGGCCTACCAAAACTTTTTAAACCCTCCAAATTCTCAGCGTGGCTAACTTCATTCTGTTCAATTCACATCGCAATGGGCTTCTGGTTAGAATTTGTGCACGAACCATGCCGTACAATTTTTAAGAACATTTTATTGATTCATTAAATGCAGCCATAATAGATTTATATACACAAAACTTCTACACATGTACCATTAACATAGACCACGGTTACATTTCAACTAATTACAAATGTTTAACGTTCAATAATGAATAAATGGAAATAAATAATCTGAAACCAAACCTATATAAGATAGAGGAACCTTTGTACAATATGAAAAATTACAAGTCTCGTCTTGTCGCAGTGCAACATGCTTCACAGCGTAAACAGACAACACACAACAACAGAAAACTTGGATGAATGAATTACTTCATCATGCTTTCACAACATAAGGTCACACACACACATTACACACACACACACAAACACACGCACGCACACAAACATACACGTACACGCACACATCTATCAACCACTAAAACAACATCAGTTAATTAATTAATTCATCCATTAATTCACTTAATCCTTGAATCAAATCAATTAATTAATGAGATCAGATGTTCCAAAAGAACTGCTTATCAAGTTTAATCCCTAAAATGTTGAGAGCCCTGTGATAAAATTAAGCAAAAACCATCAGCGTCATTATCACCGACAACATACACCAAAGAACGTCATCCACTCAAAATGCCACCAAAACCAAACTTTTCTTATGGTGCTAGATTATTCATTATTTTGTCTTTACGTGTGCGTATGTTGTATGTGTGTGTGAGTGTGTGTTGTATGTGTGTGTGTGTGTTTGTGTGTGTGTGTTGTATATGTGTGTGTTGTATGCGTGTGTGTTGTGTTGTATGTGTGTAAACATGTGTTGGTGTGTTGTGTGTGTTTATACACGTGAGTTTGTAGGTGCATACATAGGTTCGAGTTGTAAAAAAAAACACACATGACGCATTAATTATAAAATAAAATAGTATAATTTTATATAAGAAAAACAATTAATTATAATGCGTCAGTGATTGGAAAGAAAAACAAAATAAAATAATAAATAATAATATAATATAATAATAATAGGAACAACAGATGTAAAATTAACAACACCAAAAATACTAATAGTAACAAACGGTATGTTAATTAATAATTTTTTATTTGCTGACATTTGGAAATAATAATAAATTTGTGAACGAAATAAGATAAATAAATGAATAAATTATATGGAAACGAGTGTATCAATCAATCGCTCAATCGCTCAATCGCTCAATCAATCAATCGCTCAATCAATCGCTCAATCAATCGCTCAATCAATCGCTCAATCAATCGCTCAATCAATCGCTCAATCAATCAATCAATCAATCAATCAATCAATCAATCAAATCAACCAATGTATCAATCAACCAATCAATCATTCCCTAACTAATCAATCAATTAACCGATTAACTAGTCATTAATCCAATTAACACGCTGTCTTTGAAATTACAAATCCCTTGTTATTGTCATTCAATTAACGTTCAGTTAAACTAATTAATTATAATTAGTTATAATTATTTATAATTATTTTGAACGTTGGGGTACGCCCTCCTCTGGCCATACTTAAGTGGCTGCTGTGTGATGTGCTGCGGCGGGTAGAGCTGCTGAAGTTCTGCCGGGTTGAACATGAGAGGGAGCATCGAAGGCTGGCCCTGACCGCCCTCTCCTGTTGACTGTAATGAAATAATTTCAATCATGTTTCACCATCAAAAAATTAACTAATTCTCAGTTCTATGTAATCAAAAACAAGCTTTAGTTAGGCGTGAGTTGTATAGGTAGATATGACAGACGCCATTCATATAAAATACCTGGTCAGTGTTTCTGATAGATTGGTCGTAATTGTTGCTGAGTTGTTCGTGTTGTTGTGATTGAATGTTGAGCTGTTGTTTCTGCTGTTGGTACTGAAAATTATAGTGCTGTTGTTGTTGCTGATGTTGTTGCTGTTGTTGTTGTTGCTGCTGCTGTTGTTGTTGTTGTTGCTGCTGATGTTGTTGTTGTTGATGTTGTTGCTGCTGATGTTGTTGTTGTTGATACTGTTGATCATATTGCTGATGTTGAGAAAATTGTTGTTGGAATTGTTGTTGAAACTGTTGATGTTGTTGATAATTTTGTTGGTGGTGTTGCGAATGATTGTGCTGATGAGGTTGTTGTTGCTGTGCTGAGTGAGAATCTGAGGCAGGCTGGTGATTTTGTTGTGTAGCGAGTTGTTGAGTGGGAGTAGTCGTTTTATGTTCTTCATTATCAGCAGCTTCACTGTTCTGCTGTTGTTGTTGAGATGAATCATCCTTCTCTATGATGGCTGGAATTTCAAAAATAACAAATCGGACAAATTAAATAAACCGATTTTTTCAAAATAAGAAAAAAAATATATAAAAAAAAATCACAGACACTGTAAAACCATACGGACGTACAACCACAAAGTAAAATTTATTAACATCAAACCACCTAAAGGAAACAAACAAATTACAATCCAGGTAACCTGCAGGTGTGAATATGTTAGCTGGTACACTGGCAGATTTCGGTAGGATGTGCAACAGTGATTCTGCACTTGCTGGCAGGGGCTTCATGGACTTGCCCAACACATCCACGTACTGCCCTCTAGCGCCTTCATTTGAAATTTCAATGAACTTTTTTTCACAGTTTGATTTATTACTTGTTTTATAGCCAGACATTTTAACAGAACTTTTTTATGGCTGCAAAAAATATTACAAGCAAGGATACACGTGTAAGCAAGTTGTTTGAAAGCGACAAATAATTACAATTATAAAAACTGACTGACTACAAACCTCTTGGTTTGTTTCCTCTGGCAAACCTGTTGGCCGACTGTCCTGTTGACGTCATCGATGTTATGTCAGTTGCTGATAGGTTGGCATCAATGGTGGGGGTGGGGTCAAGGCTTTTTGGGGGAGGAGCCAATTGCTGAGGGTCAGAATCAGATTCCTTTGCTTCCAAATCTACCCATCTGTTCTTCACCGGGTCCCATACAATCTGAATGGAGGAGTGCAAGTGAATCGTCAAAATAATACTAACCCAATCTATGTTGAGGAAAATTTTGATGAAGTTTAATTTGGAAAGTTAACAATACCGATGGTTTTTTATCATCAGGTAGCTTCATCTCTTTGGGCTTCGACTTCATTCCAAAGAAACTCAACCAACCACCTCCGCTGTTCTCCTGTTAAATTCATTTCATTTTCAACTTCGAATGAGAAGAACTCACCAACCGAAGATGGTCCATGAGAGTGATTCAAGTGATTCAACATCAAATTGATAAACGACAGCCGGTTAAACATGGCAACCAACCTTTTTATTTTGCCCTCCAAAAAAGGAGGACTTCTTTTCTTTCCTATCCCTCCCGTCCGGATCATCGACGTCGTCGTTCGGGAATGGGACTTTCTTCCTCGGTTTATCATTCTCCTTAACAATTAAACTCATTTGTTTAAAAAATAAATCTGTAAATAAATAAATAAATTACTAAAAATAATTTTCAATGAAAAAAATAGTTTTTTTAAGTGTTAAGAAAACCCAATAAAAACAGTACATACAGATGATTCAGGCGGCTGGGAGGGCGGTGTAGAAAACTGGACATCCCTGGACGTGTCAGTGGATGACGTGGCGGGAATGCCTGCACCCGAAGACTTCCTCGACACCGTGGAACTCGATGATGTCGTGCGCTCCCTCACGCTCCTTCTTATACTGGCCAGCGTCTGGTTGGTTGGTTAAGATGTTAAAAGTTAGTTGGTTGGTTGGTTGGTTGGTTAAGATGTTAAAAGTTATTTGGTTGGTTGGTTAAGATGTTAAGAGTTAGTTGGTTGGTTGGTTGGTTAAGATGTTAAGAGTTAGTTGGTTGGTTAAGATGTTAAGAGTTAGTTGGTTGATTGGTTGGTTGGTTGGTTAAGATGTTAAGAGTTAGTTGGTTGGTTAAGATGTTAAGAGTTAGTTGGCTGGTTGGTTGGTTAAGATGTTAAGAGTTAGTTGGCTGGTTGGTTGGTTAAGATGTTAAGTGTTAAGATGAATGATCAGTAATGATAATATAAAGTTTCTGAAGTGTAGGGAAAAATTTCCCGGTTGGTCAATTGAAAAGAATTCAAATTCCAATTTATACATAAACTAAATATCATTGCGTGTAGAGTGCAATACAATAACAGAAATAAAAACAGTTTACACAAAAAGCTTAAGCAATGGGACATCTTAAAATGTTAACCGGATTAAGAGGAGAGTTTTGCTGAAGATCGTGTGTTGTTTCTTCAGGGATCTGTCCCATCTCGCCACCACCCAACACAAAGTATGGATGGTGTTGCTGCTGTTGTGGCTGTTGCGGCTGCTGTGGTTTTAGTTGGTGTGGTTGTAGTTGGTGTGGTTGTAGTTGGTGTGGTTGTAGTTGGTGTGGTTGTAGTTGGTGTGGTTGTAGTTGGTGTGGTTGTAGTTGGTGTGAATTTTGTTGAGGCGGCCGATCTAGCTGCTGATTGTGAAAATCTCGTGGCTGCTGATTATCTGATTGGTAATGTTGTTGCTGTTGTTCTTCTTCATGATGTTGTTGTGGGTACTGAGGCTGTTGTTGTTGAAAGTGTTGTTGGCCTTCTTGATGCTGTTGCTGAAGACATTGCAGTTGCATTTGCTGTTGTTGGTCGTACTGTTGAGTCTGATACTGTAGTTGTTCTTCTTGCTTGAGATTTGGTACCTGGATATCTACATTTTTTTAAAAAAAAGGTATAAATATATAATATATAAATCTGAATAATAAGATGAACTACTATAAATTTAAAAAATTCATCTTTCATCTACTAAAACGACAAGAACAAAACTGAAGTGAACGTTATTTTCAGCAACTAGACAGACACAGCTGATACAAAAATCATTGATTTCAAGAATAACCCGCTGGATTTGTTTCACTATGACCGGAGACCAAACTTGCAATACTTTCATTGTGGATAGGAGCAAAAGAGGCATTCTGATTGGCCCATGACTGCTGATTTGCCTCCTGACTGGCTGCCCACTGAGAGACCAGGTTGGAATCTGACCAATTAGAACTCACCGGAACATAGCCTTGACCGTACTGACCACTTCCCCACTGGTGGCCTGCTTATTTTATATTTAAATTAACATGACAACAGCAGGAGAGGAAAGAGTTTAAGATTTTACTCTGAGATAAATATGACAGCATCGAATTAATAACTTTTAGAATTTGATTTCAGAGGAAAACATGAACATGATAGCTAACTCACAAAAACCTCACTAATAATAGAAATTTAGGCGAAATGATGTTTCAACAGAAAGTTGTAAAGGGAGAAGTTTCATCTTAAATAAAAGTAGATACAGATATGCTATGAACAGATGAAGGATGAAGACGAACTGGTAAGCAAAAGTAGACAGGTAGACGGAAAGAGATGGACATGCAGGAAAATTGATAAATAATGAGCACATACCATTTTGAGCATGCAGCATGATGTCCCCCACCTCACTGCTGGCACCAGTTGATGGTACTTGAGGGGAAGCCCGAAGTCCCTGCAAATCTAAACTGCCATCCTTTATGGGTTGTGCATATCATGGTGGGTTGTATTTGTATTGAATGGTAACTAGGATGAAGAACTTGACATAAAAAATGCAGTAAATAATTCCAGCAATTAAATAACTATTGAAATTTATTCATAGATATCACCTAAAAACAAATTGTTAGCGTTATAATACGTCTAGGTGAGGATTTAAGACGAAACTATCGCTCGCCATCGTTGGCCACACTGCACAAATGAAATGAATGGAATTTGGAATAGAGTAGCGAACTGACCCTGATCTTGCAAATGATGTTGTTCAGATTGGTGACCCAGGCAGCAGGCGTTTCAAATGTAGAGCTCTTCTCAGAGTCCCAGATGGACAGACTGGTCGACAGTTGATGGATGAATGAAACGACAGCGGAAGGATAGAGAGAAGGATTGTTGATGATGTTGTTGGCAATGACTTTGGTGTACTTGAAGGCCTCTTCAAAGAGGCCACAGTCAATGAGGCGTGACAGGTAGATGAACTTGTACAAGACAAGTGAAGAGAGGTTGAATTGTGGACTGGAGAGGCTGGTGGCGTACTCATAGATCTCCGTGGCTTGTATCGATATGTTAGTGCAGAACTTCTTGAAAGGTAGGCTGAAATGTTCACCATTAATATGATCATCAGTTGATGATTCAAATATATTGAAGGTATTTCAAAAAAATCCCCGGATGCCGTCTGTGATAAAAAAAACAAACAAACAACCTACCTGTGATTGGAAGCAATGAGAACCAGTTTGGAACTCTTCTCACTGAAGTTGCCAAATGATGATTGTCCGACAAGGTAGCAAAAGTGGGAGGCATAGAGAAGACCTCTTGAAGCTATGAAGGGAACAGATTTATAACACGTGCTCATCACAAACTGGAACAGTTTGCCACTCATCATTCGTCAACAATCATCAATAGAAACGTTTAAAAAGCGATTGAAGCAGCGTCTGTTTGAGCAGGCCTTTGGCGGCCGTGCTGACATTTGTTTATCCGGGCGCCTCTGACGCTATGCATAGGGCACTCTTAAATTACATTATTATTATTATTATTATTATTATTATTACAAACCGCAAAACAAAGTGAGTTAAATTTCTGACATTTCAAAATCACTTTTTAAAAATTTCGAATAAATTACAAAATGGATATCCATTTTGTATCAAATTGTTTAATCAATAATTTGATTCAAGCAACAAGCAGGCCAATTGATAATGACAGAGCAAAACTCACCGAGCTTATCACCAAGATTGATGATATTCTTCCTGACGAAATTATCTTCCAGGGTCGTGTTGGATAGCAGCATAGCCAGGTTCGGTCTCCACTCATCCAATTTGTCATCATACATCTAAAAATATTTTACTCAGCAGTCCATTTGACATTTTCTTAACAATTACATTTCATCTTCTGGATACAAATTAATTTATCTATTTATTCAATTATTCATCTATTTCTTAAAACATAATATAAAAGTATTATTTCACTATAACAATGAAACCATTATAAGTTAGAAAACTGGATTAGCTAAAGTGTAAGTTGACAACCCAAAGGAATTTTTTAAAATGACAAAATAGCATAAGGAATAACTTTGAAACAATAAAATAGCACATTACTGTACAGATGACAACGTCTTTAAAAACTTAATATCAGAACAGGTAACAAAATAACATTGCAGAGGTTGAGAAAGTCTTCAAATTTAGACGAAATAAAATAGAAACAATGTTACAGCATGCATGACATAATTAAAAACTCACAAAATCAGGTGCTCTGCCGATCATAACTTGGTACAGGGTCCGCAATGGGTCATTAATTCTTGCTGACTTGTCTACAAACCTTTCAAAAACATTAAAAATCAGTTATGAGTTGAAGCCATTTCAATAGCAAAACAAAATCAGCTCAGTATAGAAATAATTTAAATCAAAGATTACAACACTATCTCATAAGGTGCTGTTCTATTGAAACAACAAATAGATATCTCCTTCATATTAAGTTTTTTTTACTTATCTCTCTCTTTCTCTTTCTTCTCTCTCTCTCTCTGTTCATCTCTTCTTCTCTCTCTCTCTCTCTTTCTCAAGCATTTTTCAGAGCTATCAACAAAACACAACGCATAGTTATAGAGTGAGGACCTTTCAACATTCAAAGATAGTCAATGCAGTAGATGCTCTGTTCTCATAACCACCAAACAACAACAAAAACAACACACTAATGTGTAGAATAAACATATAAATTTCTTTAAAAGTTGCTAAAAAACAACAACAAAAACGTTATCATGAAAACTAAATAAATGTCAATCGTATATACAAATTTCAAATTGTCTTTACATCATTTCTTGATCAACGAAGAAGCTTCAAAGTAGATGCTACAAAATGATGCATGCATATGATTAAGAACACTAATCATCAACACTAATCAACATTTTTCATAACACATTAATATAACCCACTAACTTGGCCTTAACACTGGCATAAGTCTTGGCATCCATCTCAGAAGCCAAGAAGAGTGCATGTTCCCACAAATCATTCTTTACAGCCCATTCAAGTGCATTCTGTAATGGATAGAATATCTTATTTTTAAAAACAAACCAAAAACTGACCAACCAACTAACCAACTATTCAAAGAATCAACCAACTAACCAACCAACCAACCAATCAACCAATTAATCAATTAAAAAATTAACCAACTAACCAACCAGCCAGCCAGCCAACCAATCAACCAACTAATCAAACAATCAATGACACACTCAGTGGATAACAATTGAATAGTTTTAGCATAAAATAAATGCCTCTAAATATCTATAGTGCTCTAGTCTAATATAGCAAATATACATTGTTACAAGACTCAGTTGATGTAATAGATGATTAGTTAGATGGGTTGAATGATATATCCTGATGAATTAATCCTTTTCAATAGATACAAAACATATAATGGATACAGAAAATATAATGGATACAACTTGAAAACAGGTGAAAATATATATGTATGACACAACAGCGTAAATTAATCATCCCATTACGAAATTCTGTATCAAAGTTCACAATAAAAAATTTTCTTCTCCAAACACGCCACTCCTCAACCCATTAAAATACAAAACAACAACATAAACAACAAAAAAATTTGACTCTGTCTTACATGAAACAAAACATCTCAACAGATTGTAGCTACAAACATTATATACCATAATTTAAGAATAAATGAACAGCCCAGCTTTATCACATATAACTCACTCAAGGGATAAAAATTGCTAATAAAATGAATCTTTTAAATAAACTTTGTGAAAACAAAATTTTTAAGGTTATACATTATTTATTACATTAACTGACTAAATTTGCCTGTAAAACATAACTTGAGCAGATAACTTCATTACTTAATTTATTTTTAAAATTACAGACCTGTTACATTGTACACACATTGAATATATTCTTTTGAAACAAAATAATAGTGCAATAAGCCCGAATTTTACCAAACCTAGAAATAAAGACAATTTATTATAAGCTAATTGCAATCCTTCATTCAAGCATCACTAAGGATAGCTATTGAAATAGACATTATATTATTGCAAAGCCAGTACATTCCGAACCTTTTTTCGACCATAAAGTAGAAGGTCTCGGTACCTAGAGATGACTTGAGTGACATTACTTTGCTGCTGCTGTGGTTGCTGCGGTTGCGACTGTTGGTGCAGTGGTTGTTGGTGTTGTTGCTCCAACTGAGAGTTATCTGCATTCATCACAGTTGATCCCTCGACACAGTTATTAGCATCAGCTTTTGAAGATGTAGATTCAGAGACAAGACAGGCAGAGGAGCTGTAGCTGAAATCTTCAAGCAACAACTCTGATACATTTGTTCTTGGGATCTTCTAAAATGTTTGAGTTATTGAAAATTTAAAAAAATTACTTATTTGAATGTTTATTTATTAACGAACTATAAATATCAAAGATTTGCATAAAAATGCGGCCAAAAATTATCAACTAAATTCTAAACATAAACCTCATGGATTTTGATAAAATCTGTTCAAACAAAACACACACTCACACATGTATACACTACACAGTATGTATTAATAACGACACAACAGCCGAATGTCGCCAAACAGCTGACAACTAACTCCATTCATCTTGACCAGCAGATGCAAGTACTTCCAGAGTAGAACGGCTGACGGTCTGTCAATGATGTCCACATTCTGTGAAACCTTCGAAATTTGATGCTGGCAAAAGTACAAGAGGTCCAGTGTGACATCCTCATCGACCTCACCCCTATCATATGCCGTAACGTGACAAGGTAGGATACAATACGTGAAAATTTTTCAGCAACAAAATAACTTGACACAAATCAAACACGCGCTCATCATCACGTAACCACACAAAAATAAACACTTCAATCATCTGACACAGACCGACCCACACAGTCTCACACCTGATAAGAGGACCAGGAAATTCTTTCATTTCCTTAACTTCCTCTGATTCCACATCATGCACCTGCGTTATGCAGACGTGCGAGGGCCCTCCAATAATCGGGTCACGGGGCATAATTTGAACTAAATGACCTGACCTAGAAAATGACGCCCTGGCGTGGGCAGTGATGTACTTATAAGGTGTGACTCTTCCTCGAGCTGTTTCATTGAAAAAAAAAGTTGGAAAATTACAAATACATTTATTTTTTGCTGAAACTCAGGATATGTAACCAAAAATTAAAAAAATAGAATAAAATAAATGTACGAGATAAAAATAACAAACCACTCGACCTTCAACGGAAAGAATATCTTGAGAAGGACAGCTCATCTGACTGCTCGGTCTGGAACCATGCCGAGACTCTCTGGCAAACTGGTCACTGGTTGGTTGAAAAGCAAGTATGTATGCATTCAATACCTCAGAAAAATAATGTGCATTCATTATTGTGTCCAGTTAACAAAATTAATGTGCATTCAATATTGTGTCAAGTTAATGAAACTAATGGAAACACAGGGTGATGAAATCTTGGCAAACCCATTGTAGAAATGGGTTTGCCAAGATCTCGCAATGCACACCTCTTCTCTTCATGGATTTTTTTTCATGGACTATATTTTTCAACAACTCATAATTTTAACTTATCAAAAGTGCCTTTAAACAAAAGTGCCTGCGATAAAAAAAGGAAAGTCAAAAAACTAGAACGACATCTTTGGGTCATAAAATCTTTGTGCAAACCACAATGACAGAACATTAGCCAATTAATGCAAGACATCCTTATCTTCCAAACCAAGAATGATAAATGGTTAAAAATCTAAAACAGAATGAATACATGGTCAAAGAAAACTAACGCAGCAGTGATGGGATTGAAGACAGGAGAACTACCTCTCGACGATTTCACAGATCGAGATCTTCCGACTACATCCAGCAGGTTTCTAACAAAAATAGTTTATATCGTTAATAACTTTAAAAAATAAACAATTACAATTACAGAAAATTAACAAACTCTCTCTACGATCAAGACAAACAGAATTAACAGACAATCCACCAAAAAACTAGCCAACCTATCTAGCGGTACTGCCTGACCGTAGCTTGCCATCTCTTCATAGAACCCCTTATTGTACTGGGAGGCATTTTTGTAGAAGTCATAATATGGATCAGATAATGATGGGTCCTGTGACATGTGACTAGACATATAGTAGGCCATGTAGTCTGTAGCAATAAAAAATGGTATATGATAATGATTAACCTATAATCACAATGACGATATCACAGACTAATCTTTTGATTCGGGTGTACACAATAAGCCTTCAAACAAAACCAAAATACTGTTTTAAGTGTACAAATAATGTAGCAACATAAAACTTATAATAATAATCAAATCTACCTTTGTAGTATCGTTGCATGGCATCCATGTATATATCCTTATTCATCCATTCATTAGGATATCTGTCATCTGTAATAATGAAAATGAAATGAAATAATTACAATAAACTGCAATAATTATTATAAATTAGGAAAACTGACTGGTAGGATTTAATAATAAATCTTTCTACACTAATTTGCGCGCAATGGCCTGTAAATTCAACTAGAAATAAACTGGCCAATCTGACACAAAATGATTCAACTGAAAAACAATTTAATGATAAATAAATATAAATTGAGTAACCTTGTGTCAAATAATTTAGCAAATTTAATTTGAAAAAATTTAGAAACAATTTAAATGAATAACCTTGTCTTGACCTCGGCCTTTGATATGGATCGAACTGAGAGGATATATTTGTCCCACTGTTGGATGAATATGGATCATCGAACGACCTCGCTCTGTCCATTGCGTTGGAATATGATGACCTGTCAGCTGCATACCTAGTCACATCATCTGGATACCTCATCCGATCATTTGGATACCTCATTCTATCATCAGGGTATCTAGATCTATCATCATCTGGATACCT